TCTCTCTCTCACTCTCTCTCTCTCTCTCACCCCCCCCCTCCTCAAGCATTTCCCCAACGTGAAGAAAAATCTGACAGTATCAAATCATGTATCAGCCAATCAAAGATGGATTTTGACAAACGGTTCTGTTACGTGCAGTGGATGGTACAAACTTGATCTGGGAAGCACAAGTAAGACGCTGGGTTCAGAATTGAGTCTGGGATATTTTTCTCAATTTCCTCCAAATATTCACACGCATTAATGAACTTGGTACATGACTGCAATAGTTGTCCACCAAAAGCTTGAAACACATCGTCTGTCAGGGCGGTAACTTTGTTCTTTGTAAACGCCACAGTCTTGCAGGCAGTGGAAACATAATTATTTTTCTTTTTTTTTTAGGAGGGGGGCGGTTGTACAGAACGTTGACCCAGGACTGAGAGTCAAATCAGGAATGACCCTATCATTCCCGATTGTTAAAGAGTGAAGGGTTGGAATCTATGTTGGGATTGTGGCATTGTCTTAATCTAGGGATTCTTGTTCTTCTCCTTCTATCCCGTGGTTGGGGCAACCGTGGGGGCACCACTGCATCTGAAAACCAGCTCTCGCCATCTATCTTTGTCCTCTGCTTTCCTCAGATTGTCACCCATCGTCTTTTCTGTCCACTCTGTAATATTGTCCTCTCATCTCCTTCTCTGCCTTCCTGTCTTTCTCTTTCCTTGTACGGTTCTTTGTAGTATTGTTTTGGCAAGTCCTGTGGATCTAGTGACATGCCCAAACCATTTTAATTTTCGTCTCTTCACTGTGGTCAGTAGATCTTCATGCTGCCCCACTGCGTTGGTGATTCTATTTCGTACATCATCATTTGAAACGTGGTCTTTGTACGAGCTGTCAAAGAGTCTGCGGTAACATCTCATCTCTGTTGTCTGAATTTTTTCTCTCTAATTCTGCTGTCAGTGTCCACGACTCGCAGGCGTATAAAATATTGAGATGACCAGTGAGCGCATTAGTCCGATTTTGGAGTTGTGCGTGATGTTTCTGTCCCTCCAAATAGGCTTCATTTTTGACAGCGCAGCTGTTGTTTGCGCGATTCAGTCAGTCAGTAAGTCCATATTTGTCATTTTAAAAACAAGAACGTATTGCGATATTTCAGACGCAAACAAAAATGTGTGGACGTGGAGTAATGGCCAGCCATATGGAAGCTGGCGGTGGTGGTGGGGAGGCAAAGAACCTACACCAAATGCTACCAAGATGGACTGTGTGTACATGGCCACAAGTAAGTGAAAGAATGGTGATGATATTGATAGTGCAAAGAAGGAGAACTGAAGACGGCTAATCCGAAAGAAGAGTAAAATTCCGAGTCTGACTTTTTCGTTTTATTGGAGCAACCTCTCTAAACCAAAAACCTGGCCAGACCGAAGAGGGCCCGGCGTTCTCCCAGATTTTGGTTTTATCGGACAACTCCAATAATGTCCTGTATATGATTTGGGACATGTGACATTCCTTCCTGCCTATGTGCTCTGAAATTGATTTAGAAGATTATGGAAGCTGTGGGCTCAATTGATTTTTGACTGCTTTATTTTGAGTTTGTATTGACAGTAAGAATGGAACATGTACAGGATGTGTTGCAAGCAATCTCGTCAGTAGCACCGAATGAGTTGAAACTGACTTCAAAATATGCATAATGTATTTGTGAAAGAAAATTTTTAGATATAGTTACAAATGTAGAAGAGCGAGAAGAGTGAAAAGACAATAATGTCTAAACTCCTGTTTGTCTTGTTGTTGTTGTTGTTGTTGTTGTTGTTGTTGTTGTTGTTGTTGTTGTTGTT